AGAAATGGCTAAAAACGTTCAAATGGCTACTCAGATTAATTAATTTAAAATTTAAAAGCTATGAAAAGAAGGAAAAATAGTGTTGTTCACTGTGTGTTTTCAAATTTACTCATACTGATGTTGAGTCACTGGAACCATAATAGTCTTGCAACCACGGTTACAGTTGTTACTATGGTACTTATCCACTAAGATTTTTAATCCAAATTACCTGTCAAATATTGGTGTCGGAATGAAATATAGAGGTTTTAGTGACCCCTTTTTTGATACAGATGACACAATGCTTGATCACACTATGGGCAAGATATGGATGATGCATTTCAGTATTTAAGGTCAATAATATGCAGTGTCCCCATTTTGGTAGGTGACACCACTTTATCATGATGTATATACCAAGTATGATCTAGATCTCCAGCTACATGAATCAGTGTACAAGATGTGGCTTAGAAACCTGTATTTTAGTATCAGGTCAAGGTCAAATTGAATGACCCCCGTTTTGGTACATGACACACCCCTTAAAAAAGATGGACACACCCCTTAAACAAGATGTTTACTATCTATCAAGGCCAAAGTGTCCCTACCTTAGTATGCAACACACTGCTTGCTCCCAACGTGCATTAAAGTGCATGCCAAGTATGATTTCCTTACATATAAATCAGTGGGCAAGGTATGGCCCTTGTATTTCAGTACTTGAGGCCTAGGTCATGGTTGAAGGTAAAGTAGAGGTTGCAGTAATTAAAGTTTGGTACAAAATTTACACCACTCGACCTAATTACTTGTACTGATATGAAATATATGCTCCAGATATATGGCTGGATGCATGAAAAGACATATAAACATAAAAAATGAGCACTATATATTTCCTATTCAGTTCTGTGAATTGGATTAAAATAAAGAGCAAGTAGACATGGTTACTGGCACTTAAAGCCCACCTTAGGGGTCATCAGGTGGCCAAATTTGTATTATGACAACATATTATATTGCTCACTCATTTCTTTGTTATACATGTACTTCCACTACGGTTCCATCTCAGAATATGCCTAATAGTGCAGGAAAATAAACATTCACAATCCAAAAATAAACATGCTACAGAAATTTGTCTATCTATATCTGCCTTAATTTGTCACCTAAAAAACACCCATTTGTCAACAGGGATAATACTCTTCCAAAGCATCCCACTAAGTCTGGTTTATATTTGATGTAATGTTCCAGCAACACCATCTGGAAATCAATAGGCTTCTTTTCCTTCCTTTTGGACACACAGACATGGACAGATAAAGCAATGACTACATGTATATCCCTCCACAAGAAAAAATAAATCATTGTAACTGGGAAATTTGAAAAATACCAGTATTTCACTTTCAGCTTGGGGAAAAAATCAAAAGTTGGCAGTGGATTAGACCAAAACCAAACCCACATCAAGTCTGTAAACATGGCTAAAATTCAATCAGTCGTCCCTTTAAAGGAAAAAGTTGACATCAGATGAAAAGACTGTATCCTATAGCACAACCTGCTTGTATTTCGACAGATGAGCTAGTTAAATATTTTCTTAAACAGGAACATGATCATCAGATAAAATTTTGAAAGTGCTTCATTAAAATGTATTGCATTGTGTAACAATGCAACTCAACATAACATTCCAGATCCTGGAGGCTATCTGGAGTAGAATTGTCGATACAGAGGTACATTTTACATGTGTATACATATTTCACACTTCACAAACACTAGATCTGGATGCATACTTCCGTATTGATAATCCACCAGGAAATAACATGTCTACAATGTCAGATTGACCAGGTTATCTTAACTTGTACCCATTATAGTACTGAAACTTACCATTATTACCTTCTGTTGATGGCATTATCGGTCTCATATAACAACCATTGTTGTTGTGGATTTGCAAATATAACATACAGATCTAGAGACAACACTATTGGGACATGACACCATCATTATCAATCAAAGAAAATATTACTTAACAGTGATAAGCTGCACCATTAAAATTCATAATGGACTAAGTACTTCAGAGAGTGTATAGAAATAGTTATATCCAAGTAGCACTGATATTTTCTCCTGTGGTGTTAGAAGAGAAGCCTTTATGCATTTATTTGCATGATTTTAGAATTTAACAATATGACAGCTGGATTATATAACTTTTCCACCATTACTTGTGGCACTTGCTGTTGTCCCCTTTCCCAGTACTTTAGGCATATATCCCAAAATGATCGATTAAAACTGACAAACTTTATATCTATCTTCGTGTTTCACCCCAAAAACTCAAGATCCCATATATACTATATTACAAAACTAACAGCTGTTCAGAAATTATTAAAAAGCACATAATAAGCTTTCACCAAATTTTGCAGAATTTAAATTATATATTTTAACCAACCCTGATCAGTGATCACTCCCAATTATAAATAAAAATCATGATTTTAATTGATCTAACAAAAATACTCTCTAAGGGTATCCTATTAGCATAAATACTCTTTGAAGATATCCTATTAGCATAAATACTCTCTGAAGATATCCCATTAACATAAATACTCTCTAGAGGATATTCTATTAAAATAATACTCTCTGAGGATATCCCATTAACATAAATACACTCTGAGAATATCCCATTTACATAACTAGAGGCACAAAGGGCCTGTATCGCTCACCTGTTTCTTTTGTTACATGAAACAGACATAGGTAACTTTAGACCTAATTTGGCAACTAAAACACAAGACATTTAAACATCCTTTAAACGCTTCTTAAGATAGTGTTGTTTGAAATTTGGAATTTGAATCTTAAAGCTTTTAACCCACATTGACCTTTGACACCAGCTAGCAATTGAAGTTGATATTTGACCTCATTGCTATGACAAAGAAAAAGATTCGCACTGCCGGTCTACATAGCATACCAAAGTATCATGACTCTTGTCCGAATGGTTCTTAGGATATTGTTCTTTGAAGTTTTTAACATATTTGACCCCTGTGACCTTGAAACTAGGTTAAGGTCCTTTTAATGAGGAAACTTTATAGCACTCTATCCCAGGTACCTACTGGCCAAATATGACCCTGGGACTTATGGAACTTGAGAAGAAGATTGTTAAAGCTTTAAACTCATGTTAACGTTTGACCCCTGACTAGCCCTTAAAGTTGACATTTGACCTCATTACTGTAATTAAGAAAAGGATTTGTACTACTGGTCTACATAACATACCCAAGTATCATGACTCTAGTTCAAGTGGTTCTTAGGATATTGTTGTTTGAAATTTTTAACATATTTGACCGCTGTGACCTTCAAAGCAGGTCTAGGTCTGTTTAATGAGGAAATATTTAGCACCACATCCCAGGTACCTACTGACCAAATATCATGACCCTGGGCCTTATGGAACTTGAGAAGAAGATTGTTAAAGCTTTTAACCAAAGTTGACATTTGACCCCCGACTAGCATTTAAAGTTAACCTTTGACCTCATTACTGTAATTGAGAAAAAATATTCGCACTACTGGTCTACATAACATACCAAAGTATCATGACTCTAGTTCAAATGGTTTTTAGGATACTGTTGTTTGAAATTTTTAACATATTTGACCGCTGTGACCTTGAAAGTATGTCAAGGTCATTTTAATGAGGAAACTTTTTATAGCACTCCATCCCAGGTACCTACTGACCAAATATCATGACCCTAAGTCCTACAGTTCTTCAGAAGAAGTCGTTCAAAAGAAAAAGTTGACGGACGGACGACGGTTTGTTTGTTTGTTTGTTTGATTTTGTTTAACGTCCTATTAACAGCTAAGGTCATTTAAGGACGGCCTCCCCTGTGTGCAAGATGCATGCGTGTAGTGTATGTGTGTGTATTTTGGGAGGCTGCGATATGTTCGTGTTTGCCTCCTTGTGATAGCGCGGAACTGATGCCGACTTTATAGTGCTACCTCACTGAAACATACTGCCGAAGACACCCAGCAGGACGCCCCACCCGGTCACATTATACTGACAACGGGCGAACCAGTCGTCCCACTCCTAATTTGCTGAGCGTTAAGCAGGAGTAGAAACTACCATTTTTAAAGACTTTGGTATGTCTCGGCCAGGGGACAGAACCCAAAGCCTTCCTCACAGGGGCGAACGCTCAACAAATGGCCAAAAGTGAGGCATTGTCAAGGGAGACATTAGGAAGAAGAAAGTAATTTAGAAAGGAGAGAGGAGAGAAGAGATAAGGTCCCAAATTTAGTCGCCTTTTACGATCATGCAATTGTGGGCAGCAGGTACAACTCTTAACCCCTACCTGCAGGGTCAACGGACTACGGACGACGCAGTACGGCATAAGCTCACATGGCCCTTCGGACCAGGTGAGCTTAAAAAAAATCCTAATCTGACGCTGTTAGGCGATGGCTGTTCTCGATATCGCCGATTCCTTCGACGGTGACCGCTACAGCCATTGAACTTGTTACGTCACAGCCGATAGGGGCCAATTCACCGCGAGTTATGATCATGCTAATTAGTAGTAGAAGGACAGGTTAAAGTCCTACACTTTACACATCGATATCTCGGTATGGGGATGACCAATTTTAATGTGGTTTTCAACATTTTTGTGTTTGGATCATATAGAATAATAATATATTCATTTCTATTTTCGTTCAGTGTACACTTTAAAGATTATCCAGGAATTTTTGTCATAAAAAAAAATACCAAAACATCCTATAGTCTAAGGTATACAGAAACTACCTGTTCCCTTACTTTTAATACCTTACACTCAGTTCATTGCTGTTCATCTGCATTTATCTGTCAACTGACAATGTGTGTATAATGTAAATCATAAAAGTGCATAAACTATTCTGTATTTTTCATCAAATGTATTACTTCGCAAGAAGTAGTCGGTGCACGCCTACAAATCTTAGTTACACAATCTGACTGCAGATAATACCTATAACATCATAATTAAACATGCCCTTATTTATTATATGGTGGATAGAGAGGGCTAACATGTCACTAGAAATGCTTTAATTTAACGATGTACCTGATGTTTTCTCCGCGAAAAGTCGTCTCTGTGCAATGATACTCTCACTTGTATATCCTAACATTTCTTGAAGTTCCGCATCTCGTGTCAATACCAACTAGGAACCAGAAATCGATATATTGATGAACATCATCCCTGCTTGCCCTGCTGGGAGGTTTACTTCCTATGTGCACATAAAGTGGTGACGTACGAAATTTCTATAATTTTATTCATTCGATCGAAAATATTTAGGGTACACGTAATTGATTGTCAGATTAATGTTTCTTTATGTACAGGTTTACATATGGAATGTATCTGATACTTATTTAGTCTCGTTATAAACGATAATCAAATTACAACAAGACATGCTTACGTCACACGCACCAAAATAGACTATTCCTAATGGAGGAATATTTATCGAAAGACTTCTTACGACCCACAGGATTTCTTGTCTTCATCCTTTGATCACAGACAATTGTTGTCCATTTGGAATATCTAGGTAAATATGTCTTTATACTCGTTAGATTTTTAAACATTTGTTATTTGACTTTCTGGGAACAGGTGCCTGCTTATTGGAAAGTTGCCGATGCGGCACCACTGGCGTGACTTTTCGTGCACGTCCCCGACACGAGTCTGTTGTATTAGATTCTTCCGATCCACATCCTCTTCGTGGATGCGTATGATCGTCATAATTTGTGTCATTTTATTGTTTTTAACGATGTGTTGTTGATGATTTTTTTTGGGTGCCAAATACGGAAAATCCTGCCGCTGGACTTGATGCAGTCTGTAACTGTACTGTCTAGTAGATCTAGAGCTGTCATGATGCGATAAAATGTTGTTGAAATCATGACTTACTGATACAGTAGTATATTTCCAGTCCATGACGTTATTGTTCCTCTTCACGGGACTCGCTTTTTGATTCCATTGTAAATCAATAGTTGCAACAAGCAGCTTTAAATTTGGTTATTACATGCTTTGTATCTAGTCTTGTTGGTGAACGTGTGCGTCAACGAGTTGAAATCAGTCGTTTACGCATTGTGACTGATTTCAACTCGTTGACGCACACGTTCACCAACATGTTCAACGTGTTGAAGATGTCATAGGGGGATTTAGTTAAGAAGTGCTTGATTTAAAACATGGGTACACCGCTGAAATCAGAGAGACATGAAGTAATAGCTAGTAAGGGTTATTGAGAAGAAAGACAGGAAGACCGTGTTCATGAACTATGGGAGTCTTGTTCTGTTTACATAAAGTCTGTAATCAGCAATGAACATGGTCTGGAAGACACACCAAGTACACAATGATAAGCATGTTACCTACAATCCTGTAGTAATGTGGCTATATATACGGTGTCAGGTCTTTTCGGTAACAAGTCGTTTCGGGACTTTTTTCAGGTTGTTTCGGAACATGTCAAAAGTCGTTTCGGGATTTTTCTTCTTTTTTTCCTTCTGTAGATACCATTGTCTTTTTTCTTTAAACATATTTTAATGTCAAATAAATTTAAACAATTGATTGAATAAAAGTTATATCTTATCATAACCTTCTCCCGTCATACATTTACCATTACATGATTTTAATAAAACATAAATAAAAATACACAACATAATAACATCCTTCAAAATATATTGCTGGATTTGATGAATTGATTCTCGTGCATGTCTAAAACAATCTATGTGTTTAACGTTTTTACTTTCATGAAATTTAATTTCAATATAGCAAAAATAAAATGCTGAAAACATTGTTTAATAGAATCAATGTTAACTCATTCGTCTCTTAATGTCAATAATGGAGGATAGAGTGAGTTGAAAACATATTACAATATCAAACAAGGAATCAACCTATCAATAACGAAAGAAATTGAATGTTGAATTTTATAAGTTCCTCTAGATCTGTATTTGATAACGAGATTAGTTTCATCAGGTAACAACACACTGTCAATCGGGTAAATGTTGGTAGGTATCCCCTCAAGCGCTAGCAATCAGGGTAACACGGGTAAGTCGTGACACAGGTCATACAGGACTTTATATGAAACGGGAGGGAAATGTAATTTATAAGTGAACATTTTAGGTGTCCCGAAACGATTTGATTAAGTCCCGAAACATCTTGTGTCATGTCCCGAAACGACCTGTTACCGAAACGACTAGCATTCATATACACTTTCCGGCTGCTGAATATTGTTGTATATTTCTACTACTCTCACACACTTTCGTTGCATTTCAAAATCTTTTGTTAATCATAAAATCAACAAAACAAAACGCCAGAATTTGTGAACCTGGCGGAAAACATATTTTACTACATTTGTAACAGCAGATGCAGGCTAAAATTAACATACTTGTCCGGGGCAAGTCAGTCAATTAACTGGCTGATAACTTTGGTATTTATTGACCGATGTACATGAAACTTGGTCAAGATGTTCAGTTTACAAAAAAACACATTAAGGTAAAAAGTCAAGGTCAAAGGTTAAGGTCATTAGGTTCAAAGGTCAAGGTCAAATTTTTCATCTTTTCAGTGATGAACATTTTGTTATGACATGATGAAGCAAAGTTGATCAGAATTAAACAAGGAGTCAACTGGCAAAAGGTCAAGGTCATTGGGTCAAAGGTCAAGGTCAAATTTTGTAGCTTTTCACTGGTGAACATTTCGGTATGACATGATGAAGCAAAGTTTTTCGGAATTCAACAAAGAAACACACTGAGGTAAAAAGTCGGTCAAAGGTCAAGGTCAAATTTTGCATCTTTTCACTGATGAACATTTTGTTATGACATGATGTAGCAAAGTTAATCAGAATTAAACAAAGAGACACACTGAGGTAAAAAGTCGATCAAAGGTCAACGTCAAATTTTGCATCTTTTCACTGATGCACATTTTGTTATGACATGATGTAGCAAAGTTAATCAGAATTAAACAAGGAGTCAACTGACCAAAGATCAAGGTCACTGGGTTAATGGTCAAGGTCATTTGGGTACAAAGGTCAAAAACAAATTGGATCTCTGACTTTGACCCTGGCTGTTGATGGAGGAGGGATATAAGGTGAAATAAAACAAATCAAAGCTAACAAATGAGTATTGCACCGGTATTTACATTTCTGTTAGCCCAGCAAATATGGAGGTGGAAGGAAACGACTCACATCATAGTACATGTAAAATCTATATTTTGCTTCCTTGCGATTCTTTTTGAAGTCCAAATGTCAAACGTCAAGCTCAACTATATGGGCAGATTGCTTCTTGATGATTATGTGGGGTATATGGCCACAAGACGGGGCCCTTACTTACCTGTCAGTGTTCTAGCTTCAAATACTTTTCAGTCTTAAATCTGTATGCTAGATATTGAATAATGTGTGTTTATTGTTTTTTGTCACTTTGAATAACATTTCTGTTCATGTTAAAAACAAAATCAACTCTGTGTATAAATATATCAGGAGACCGTTAAGCCCCATGAGCCTCTTGTTAAATTTAATGTCATTGTTTGACTTTCAAGGTCATAGGGGTCAAATGTGTTAAAATCGTTTAACATGTTCTTTTGAATGACTTGAGTCAAGACAAGACACTGATATTTTGCCTGTAGCTTTATTTTAGTCCACATTTAAGATTACAATTGTGAGATTAATACCAGGTGAGCTATGCAGGCCCATTAGGCCTCTTTGTTGTAGATGAACCACTAAAAATGTAAGGGGGTCCTTTTTGCTCTATTCATCCATACTGTGATGTCCAGGCAAGGGCATTTTGTAGGCTATCTTTGCCCTCTTCATTCTCTAGATCTAAGATCTTTTAAATATTTCTGTATTATCCATGAATATAAGTATAATCAACAAGGTTAGGCAATTCATGGACAAACATCGGGAAAAGAAGGGTCCGAGTAATGAGTGGCCGGGTGGCGCAGTAGATACCGCACTAGCCTTTTACCAAGGTGGCCTTGGTTCGATTCCTTGATCGGACGTGAAAAGGTATGGGTTCACCTGCTTGACGATATGTCGGTGTTCTTTGGGTACTCCAGTTTCCTCCCACTTTTAAGACCCCCAGGGTGCTAACATCCGGGCCAACAAGAGGGATTAACATAAATTGTAATAACTTATTTCATAATTATCAATGGGTAAAGATTACCATGACCACATCATTCTATGTTTGATAATTGTTGTAAAGTGAATAAATATTAAATGAGCATTGTGGAATTTGGACATCACCTTTCACCATTCTGAATGTAGCTCATATCACCTGTTGTTCAGAAACTCCTTTAAATCTTTGATAGCATATCTGGCTCAAGAATTAGTATATTTTAAAGTTTGCTTAGTAACTGATTAAGAAGGGGCATTGTCAATGAGTCTAAATATATGTGTTATTTATAATCCCCTATCCATTGCTTCGGTCTATGTGAAATGCATGAATTTAAGTCTTTTAAATTTACTTTAAAACAAAGTTTTATCTAGTGGTGTACTGATAATCAGAAACATTAATTAAATCGAGTTTGAAAAGGGTCCGATTCAATAACCGATTTTGCTGATGAAAGATCAATGATGTTCAATTGTATTGTAATCCTTTTCTAACTTGAAGCTGATGCAACATCTGCACCGACATTATAAATTTGGTGGTTTAGTTAGGGCTTTTCACCAACAGGCGTCATTTCGCACTCCGGGAATCCCCTCCTACTCAGTCAGCTACTGTAGACTTGCACAAGTTATTATTAGAAGGCCAAATCAGTCCTTACAGTGAAAAGCCTGTCAAATTGTTAGCCAACAATTTCTAATATAAAAATGGAATTGTATATGGTAAAAAAGCGGAATTGCTTTTCGTTGCATCACTTGCATTTGTTTCGTATAATACATACATCTGCATTTTGTATCAACCGAAACCGCCATATTTGAAAGCTTGTCAAATGAAGCTAGCAGAGTGTTTTTCGTGATAAATTATTATTAATATGATATGTTATTGTGATTGGAGCATTCAAATGGGGGTAATTAATACCTAAACTGTGAGTACACATAGTCGTCATCAAGTTTTGAGTCAAAACAGAGATATAATTGAATCCTTCCTTCCACCTAGATTTCGGAAACGAGTATTTTCTCATCAGTCGGCACAATTACATCAGATAATAAATCGGCTGGCCTCTTATGTTACACGAGTAGGTCATTTAAACCGATAATTGATTATCGATCGATTATTGAGTTCCGATTATCAATCTTCAATATTTGACCAATTCCCAGCACTAGTTTTATCATTCTTTGTCTAATTTGGTTAAAAATTTATTCTAAAACTAACTGTTACCAAATGGAAGAATCAGCATTTTTGCAGAAACAAGATCATGTTTCATATGCATGGTTACCAGTTCTGTCAGGCGGTGGATGTTAAGTGACAGTTAAAAAATTCTGTCATAATTTAAATTGAACAGCATGACATGATTGGTCCACAATTGCTTATGGTAGTTTGTCATATTTGGTTGGTAGGGTTATCTAAAGGGCTGTATGAAAGAAATTTTATTATGTATCCATAATTTCTAACATTTTCAAAATTAGGAAGCCCAACTGTCTTGAAGTGAACATGCTATTCCTCTTAATGTCGCTGGGGTCAAATGTTTAAAGAAAAATTCAAACATCTTCTGTAAAACCAAAATGGCAAGAGTGATGATATCTGCCCAGTAAATTGCTGGGATGAAGGGCTAACAAGTTTGTTCAAATGAGTTGCCTCAAATAACTTTCAATATCACAGGGGTCAGATATGTTTCAATATTTAAACAACTTCTTCTCAACAACAAAAAGTCCTCGAGTGATAATATTTGGCCAGTAGCATGTTTGGATGATAGGCTTCAAAGTTGGTTCAAATGAATGACTTGACAAGGGGTCAAGTGTTTAAAACTTTAAAAAAAATTCCTACCATACGTAACCAAAAGACCAAAGGTAGTGAGGTTTGGCCTGCATCTAAATTTAATCAACTTTTATGTATTCCACCTTGATCAACTTTTAAGGTTACTGGTGTGAGATAAAAACCAGATAAGCAATACAGACCCAGTTGGCCTCTTGTTTACCTTGAACCATCCCTGGACCAAGCTTAAGGTGATTCAATGTTAAATATAAGAAAGTGATGACCTCTTTATTTTGTCATCTATTTGGCATACAAAAAAAGTGAAAAAATAGGGGTACCTCTTCTTAATGGCTCGTATAAAATTCTACATTATGAATTATTTAATATAAATTATACAAGTTTTGCATGCAAATAATGCTTTCAGTTTTTCAATTTTCCATAATAAAGGAGTATGCACATTTCTAGAGCTGAAATACTTTTGTGTTTTCACGTTGTGTGTTTGATTTTTTCCATTTGAAATTGAAAAATTCAAACTCATGTTTGATAGTGTCAATGTTGTAAAGATTCATGTTTTTTTTTTATATATATTTTGTAGATGACACTGGTCCTGAATCAAAGCAAGCTGTGAAAGGTCAATTTTGAAGTATTTTCTAAACCTGTCTACACCAATGGACGTGTAGAGGTTTCCTCGTCTATCCTAACCTAACTGCAGTATGACTAACCCTCCTGCTGCTTCCCCTCCCAACTTCTATATGGTAGAAGTTGGTGACTCCACTTTCACAATACTAGAAAGATACCAGAATCTCAAGCCAATAGGATCTGGAGCTCAAGGCATTGTGTGGTAATTATGAAAGGATTTTAATACATACATGTACATTCTTCCTTGTTGAGTTCAGACCTCAAAATTGCATTTTGCAGAAATCATATTGGCCTCTAAAAGAAAACGACATCATATTAAACAAGTCAATTATTTCTATAATTAAAGTTTGCTGCTTATTTTCAAAAGTCTTCAATTTACAAAATTTATTGTATAACATTTTCTGTTGTTGAATATTATGAAAATTACGTTATTTTATTCAGTGCTGCCTATGACACTGTAGCCGGAACAAATGTTGCCATAAAGAAACTCAGTCGTCCATTTCAAAATGTTACACACGCCAAGAGAGCATACAGAGAATTTGTACTGATGAAGTTGGTCAATCACAAGAATGTAAGTCAGATTATTATTAACTGGTGGATATTGGCAGTATATGTTAAACTTTTAACTCTGGCGACATAATTTCTTACATATATCCTTGTTTCATTTACCAGACCTGACACATATATCCTTGTTTCATTTACCAGACCTGACGACACATGTATCCTTGTTTCATTTACCAACCCTGACACATATATCCTTGTTTCATTTACCAGACCTGACACATATTTCTTCATTTACCAGACCTGACGACACATATATCCTTGTTTCATTTACCAGACCTGACACATGTTTCTTCATTTACCAGACCTGACACATATATCCTTGTTTACCAGTTCTGACACATATATCCTTGTTTACCAGACCTGACATATATATCCTTGTTTACCAGATCTGACACATATATCCTTGTTTCATTTACCAGACCTGACACATATTTCTTCATTTACCAGACCTTACACATATATCCTTGTTTACCAGTTCTGACACATATATCCTTGTTTACCAGACCTGACACATATATCCTTGTTTACCAGACCTGACATATATATCCTTGTTTCATTTACCAGACCTGACACATATTTCTTCCTTTACCAGACCTGACACATATATCCTTGTTTACCAGACCTGACACAATCATGAGTATACATACCAGTATATTGATAAATCACTAGAATTGACATTGATACAATTTTGTTACAATTTTCGTAAAAAGTTACCTGTTGAATTTAAGTAACAAAAGAATAAGTGTTGAACAAATGTACTATATGAAAATATTACATTGATGAAGGTTGATTTATAATTTGTAGTTTATGTTTTTCAGATAATAGGCTTGTTAAATGCATTTACTCCACAAAAAACTCTAGAAGACTTCCAGGATGTGTAAGTATTGTGACTCAAAATATTTTACATCCTTTAATTATATACTTCAAGAGCAACGATTCATAAAACATTCCAGATCTTAATACACAGACCAATTATTTCACATGAAAGTCCATGAACATTCACAGGTGTGCAGCATCCATAGTGGAAAAATCTAGACTTAAAGTTAAAAAAAAGTGAATGCCATATCTCAGTAACAAAGTAAACTCTGGAGGAATCATACAAAAACGTACCTTAGGCTTGATCTTTGAAAAATTGGAGATGACAGATTGGACAGTGGTTTCAAAAGTCTCACAAATGGAGCTGTATGTCTGTCACTTGAATATTCAACCCACATTGAAACAAAACCTTAATGTCCTTCCACATTGTACTCTTTAATAGAAAATTGCTTCTAAAAACAAACATTCATAACACCTCCTCCACCCCCACTTTACAAATTACCTTTTTAAGGGGAAGGGACATATATATATACAGGTATGTGCATAGTTGTGTCTGTATATAGATGTAATACAGATACTTTATACGAATGTGTAGTATACTATGTGTATACAGGGGTATATATATACAGGTATGTACATAGTTGTGTCTGTATATAGATGTAATACAGATACTTTATAAAGATGTGTAGTATAATATGTGTATACAGGTATATATATATACAGGTATGTGCATAGTTGTGTCTGTATATAGATGTAATACAGATACTTTATATGGATGTGTAGTATACTATGTGTATACATGGGTATTTATATACAGGTATGTACATAGTTTTGTCTGTATATAGATGTAATACAGATACTTTATACAGATGTGTAGTATACTATGTGTATACAGGGGTATATATATACAGGTATGTACATAGTTGTGTCTGTATATAGAT